TTTTACAGTCTTACATCGGACTTCGCAGAGCACTAACAGAGAGACAAAGGTAAGGTGATTGTTTCAGAGCTCCATTTGGCTGGTGAATTTAAACTCTTCTCAGTCTTATCACGCAGCTTCAAAGTATTTTGAAACCCACTGGCTTCGGTAAGGCTCGTAGGAAATCTTCCTAAGTAACTCTGATGTCCAAGTAAAGCCGCTAAGAAAATTCATTGACGAAGCGCCCTCATTTTTTTCAGAAGCTTTTAAACTTTTAGAATAAAGAACGAAACATTTCCTCCTGAGCTTCAAAAACCTAGCTAGCAATAGATGAGTATGTGGTGTTGCATGATCGAACTGAACAAAACAAAGACAATCGATACTCTTCAGAAAAACGGTTGAAATGCCACTTTTTCGATGTACAAGTAAGAACTCTAAATTTCCCATTTAACAAGATAAAGATATTCTGCTGTAAAATATAATTTTTAGTAACGTTGTAACGCAGTAATTCTAGTTTGCCATTGACTACGATCTCCTCGTTTTTCCGAACTTTTCGTTCAGACACGACGTAAAGGACCTTCGTTCCTTTATTTTATTATCTCCTAAAAAACCTCAGTAATTCGACAACCGGAATTGAAGGTGAGGTTTTTTTTCTGAGGTAACTGAGCGCATTTTCATAATTTCTGACCTTATTATTACGTAGAAGCTTCGTAGCGTGTAAATTAAGCTCCACACCCTTCGACCGCAAACAGTAAAGTAAACAAAATTTTTAACAATATAGATTTTAAAAATCGCCGTATTTAACAAGGGTTTGATAAGTTCTAATAAACAATAGAAGCGTTTATTCACCCTCAATGGAAGCTATCACAATACCGCATCGAACCCGCAAACTTAGCACAATGCAAGTCAAATAGCGAGTTAATAATTTTTCATTAGCCTACTATAAACTGGACAATGTGGTTTTCAGTTTAGAAATAGTTCTAACGGATTCCCGTAAATCGAGGAAATAAAACACCTATTATATATCAGAGTAATACTCAAGGTAATACATGTACTATACGTCCTATACGGGTGTGCATACATAAACAGGACATGGACCTTGACGCTCTACATATTGACAAAGCTGGCGTATAGGTCTGTATAGAGTGAGAGTGAAACAGTCACGTAATATGCGAATCTCTTATAATCGCAACGGAAGACTTACCCTCCACCCTTGTGTACCGGCATGTCAGTAAGTCTTCTCAAAACCGGCATGAATGTCATGAACACTTTATAATTATTTCAAAATAAGATGGGCACCTTTCAACTGGGTACTCATCCCTGTGATTTCTTTTTATAAATCTACGTTGATCGTACAATTACTTATTATGATAATCCCAAGAGTGGAAAAATCAAATTCAGAGTAATGATCTATACGTGAGTTAATTACCGACTACTGAAGTGCTACCTTCATTGTTTGCTTTGGCCATTTCTCTTATAGTTTGACAGTCATGTCTTCAAAGTACCTTTATATTTGCTTTATCCTGATCTTTGGATGTGTCATGGTTTGCTCTCTAACTGGTGAGGTTTAAAATGATTTCACACTAGAAATACTTTTACAAATTGTGTATTAATTGTGTCATTTCGTGTCGTCAAGATTCTGTAAGTACCGAACTTTATTTTTGTTCATTGTTAGTAATTTGGCTGAGTTTCCTTTATATTTGTTACTCATCATTGGTTTAGTATCACGTATTTTTAATTTTTTAAGCCCTACAAACACTTTGCGTTAAGTCGGCATCCCTAAAACCTAACTAGAAAAGTAAAAGAATAGTTTGAAAAGTCTAAACGGGAGTTGAGATCACAGAGACCCCGGAAGAAAGAAAACGATAAGCTGCTCTTACCTCAAGATATGGTTGGATCGCACTAAAGCCCGTCTGTTTTCCCCCCAAAGTATATGTTAAGGTAATCATACGACTTCGAGATTAATTTGGAATTTATTTGCAAGATCAAAAATAATTTATTTTTTATATATATATTTACAAACTTCGTCAAGAGGCCTGGATAACTCCAGAACAAGCTACAATACGAGGTCCAGAAAAGAATGATAATGATAATACTAATACATACAATAATGACAATGTACTAGATACAAAAGAAACGGCAATAACAAACAGAATTGAGGCAAACATTGATAAAAGAATCAACAACACATTTAATCGAGCAAGCTCGTCAGTGGCCGACCATTGTGGCACTTGATACCAACACCGTTGTAGCCAATGTAGCAGGCGTAGAAAAGGGTAGGGGATTGGGAGGAAGGGAAAAAGGGAGGGGGAAGTGATTGATTGATTCCCTTTCGCGCTTCTCACTGTCCTCCTCCCCCTTTCTGAACCTGCCATGCGAGCTAACTCTCTTGTAGGTCTTGGGTGTGTTGACATCATAAGCAGACGTAGTAAGAACCTAGTATATGGCCTCGCTCTCAATGAGTTCTCCATAGCTCAGTGGATAGAGCGCCCGCCCGGTGTTTGGGAGGTCATAGGTTCGAATCCTGTAGGGGAATCAGATTTTTTCTTTGCCCCACGCTCGTGACACGCCGATTATTTCATCTTCACATTTTACAAATAGTAATTAAAAATTAAGTTGTTAAAGTGCACTACTGAACAGTCAACGTTCTGAGGTGGGCTGGTAAAGTGTACCAGGTTCTTGGGGCTCTACAGATAAAAATGTTCTCAAAGGTAACGGTATTGGCTTTAATCGTATTCAGCAGAGTACCTTGAGAGGAGTCAGTGCGCCTGGGTCTAGTGGGGTACATAAGCATTTGAATACGTAGGCCAGAACTAAAAATTCGTGTCAATAACATAGAGGTAGAGGCCCTGTTCTCAGAAGCCTCTGCTTATAACTAACTTCCCACCGATAAATTTGAGCTTTTTGAAAACACATGAGTGAAATAAATACCATATTGAAAAAAGACGTTTTGATACTTTTTGTTATCCTTTCGGAGTTGCGTAGGGAACTGGGGCGAGTTTCAGATTTCAACTAATCGATAAACTGACACCATCATATAAAATGTCATGTTGAGGTTGGTTATTTGACCAAGTTTGGTGCTCTAAAGTTGAACAGGGATCAAGTTATGACTCTTGAAACATGGTTAAAGATCCATACAAACGTCTATAATTTTGTAACAGCGTCCCCCAAAACCATATAAGGTACGGACCATTAGAAAAGTGATTGGGGGGGGGGGAAAAAAAAAAAAAAAATTCATGCAAGGGAAAATGCAAAGCAAAAAAATTAATGCAAAGAAGAAAGGTAAAGAAAAAAAATTCATGCAGAAGGAGGGTCCAATTGTGACTTTTTCAGAAAGTCTGAGTTTCTTTCAGAAAGTCTGAGTTTCAGAAATCAACAATATTACCAGGCACAATATGAATAAACAAAAATCACTTTCTTCTTATTGAAAGGAGACAATTAGAACTTTGTTTTTGTTTTAAATTGTAGCTGGTGTACCTACAACATACACTGTATGCTGTATTATAATAAAAATAATAAAATAAAATTGGTAATAAATAAATATTAGAATTTGGTAGCTTTGTAAATATTCTAAAAAAATTATTTGTGCCCACAATAAAAATTAGAGGATGGGTCTTACCGCCTTGAATAAGAATTCTGTAATACGATGAAAAAGTGCATTCACACGTAGTAGTAAGTGTTAAAACTGTTACTGTCAACGACATAAACAGCAACACTGCCACCGATACTTTTAACAAAAATTAAGAACCATTAAGTATGGTTTTCATTGGTGAATGGAGTATGGCATTTCAGAGGGCAGGGACTGAAAAAATGCACCGGGAGGCCGTCCACTCCAAGTGGCTGCCTCCTCTCTCACTGTGTGTACATTTTCGAAAAGATTTTGCATTAAAGTGGCCTGAATCCTTTGATCTGTTGTGAGTGTAGAATAATTTATAAAGCACAAAAACATAGATAATGAATCAAGATTTCACTGTTCAAAAAAAAGCAATATTTGTCTGAAAAAAAAAATTCGTGCAGAGGGGATCACCTGAAAAAAACATTCCTGCTCAAGCAGTGAGCGAAAAAAAAAAATTTCGTGCAAGCTGAAAATTCCCCCATCACTTTTCTAATGGTCCGTCCCTAAACTCTTTAAAATTTTTCAGTTTTTCTTTTAAACTGAAAAATTCGTCATGCATCCACTTCTTGAAAGGAACTAATTTGAAAATCACTGTGCTTGCCCATTTTTAAGGAATATCACAGAAATCGTGGAAAAAAAATTAAGAGTTTATATGGTTTTGGGGCCCGCTGTCACAAAATTACTGAGGTTTCTATGGCTCTTTAACTAGGTTTCAAGAGTCATAACTTGATCCCTGTTCAACCTTAGAGCACCAAACTTGGTAAAATGACCAATCTCAACATGACCTTTTATATGGTGGTGTCAGTTTATCGATTTTTATTAGTTTAAATTTGAAACTCGCCCCAGTTCCCTACACAACTCCGAAATGGCCAATAAAATACATGAAAGAAAATTTACTGGATGAAAATTTGCCCCCCAAAATGGTCCCACAATGCAATTCGACACAACAATGAGCCAGCCTTACGCGAAACCTTAAGAGGCCAATAAAGATTCTGGCACCTGATTGGTTCTTCCGTATTTCTCTTGTTTATCAACCAATTACAGTGCTCCATTCTCTGAGGCAATTTTCATTTTATGTTTCCTTGTTTCCTTATGTTTCCTTGTACATGCTCTTAGGCAATCAGATTCAAGACATTTTCATGCATATTATTATCAGACTGACGAGACGTTTTGTTAAATTTGCATTGGAGAACTCATTGATTCACTGCTTTCCTTGATTGACAGTCTATAAGGAGATTTCACTCGGACCAATCTGATGCAATCCAATCGCAATTTTAGTCAAGCTTAGATAATTTGAAACCCGTTAATAATGTAATTTTTCTTGCAGAATAATTGTACTTTATTAAGGGAGAAATACCTTCTCTATCAATGGTACCCAGCAGAATAAGTTGAATCCTTCTTCTTTATTGCAGACTACGCCTTACACTTTCCAGTTGAAGGTACCACTGACTACGTGAACATCTGGGGAATGCCCAGTTTGACCCAGTTCACGGTGTGTCTTTGGATGAAGTCAAGCGACACGAGCCACTATGGTACTCCGTTCAGCTACAGTACCCCTGGCCAAGATAATACAATTATCGTCTACAATTACAGATCTTTTCAGTTTTATATTAATGGCAAGTTCAGGTACTGTTTGTTAGATTGAAACCTCAGACTGAATATTTGACAAGAACCCTTGGCTTATCCAAAGCGAATTGATGTTTTCATTAACTTGATTGTTGAAATTCTTCGTATGCATGTATAAAGGGGGCTAATATTACGGCCATAGTATCAATCTGCAAGGCAAATCTCCCTTTAGCTATAAAACAGATAATGTTGGTTACTAGGGTTGTTTAGTTATTTCTCTATAATTCCATGTAGAACGACTCATGTATCGGCAAATGATGGGAGATGGCACCACATCTGTGCATCTTGGGAAAACAAATGGGGCTCATGGAAACTGTACAAAGATGGATTTGTGGCTTCGAGCGGGATTTGGTTCCTGGCTGGTCACGTGATAAAGTCTGGAGGATCTCTTACGCTGGCTCAAGAGCAGGATTCTGTTGGAGGTCGCTTTACACAAAACCAGTGCTTCATTGGGATGCTGACAAACGTCAATGTCTGGAATTACGTGCTTTCCACAGCACAGGTTAAGCAGATGTCAAAAGTCTGCCTTCCTGGGCGTGAGGGAAACGTCTATAAGTGGTCTGATTTCATTCATGGGCGTGAAGGCAAAGCCAGGGTTGTTATGCCATCACCTTGCAAACCACAGGCATTCTGAACAAGTTTCAAACAGAATAAGGGCGTTATAAACTTAGAAGTTCATTTTTGTACTTTTTTACAAATAGTTCGATAAAATGATCTAACGCGTTTTGAAACTGTTCGTGTGACAGTGCAATAAAATAGACCTCAAATTATTCATTCACTGCCACTGCATTTGTCGATCACTGATTTCTTATATTCCATACACTTGTAAATGATAGAAATGGGAAAACGCAAAAATTCCACTTGAATCTAATATCAAGTTAATGTATCCTGAAAAATTATACCTGGTCAAGACTTGAGTGAAGAACAGATAACATCTGACTTATTAAATACAGTATCAAGTCTATAAACTATCAGCAGCTCAATAAGCACCAATATAACTTGCTTATTAAAGCGTTTCTTGAAAGGAGATATTTTCTGTCCGTTTGGAAGGTGATAATTAGGTCAAGCCAGTTCGATATATTCCTATTGACCTCATGCAAAAGTCAGCGTCACCAAGCTGGCTGCAATTAGCCCCTGATTAAGGTTAGTTTTGGCTCACCGAGACATTGGGCAATAAAATGTATCTAATCTGCCTTTCCTTTGGTTTCAAATCTCAAAAGTGAACGTTTTTGTCAGTTTAAGGTTCAAATCCCGGTGATGCACGATGTATGTTAGTCTTTTATTTGTTGTCAAAAGGCAATAAGTAGCACCATGATAAGTGTCCCTTCTGATAATTCTAGCGTATTATACACAGCCTTTTAACCCTTTAAACTCTGTTAAACACAAATTCTCTAGCCTGTGTACAGACCCCCTCCCCTCAGGAAAAATCGATTTTTCCTGAGCGGTAGACTGATCTCCATACATTTCCTTAATTGATAAGCTGGGAGAATTTTAGTAAAATCCAGCCAGTGGTCTATTATCAATGCTGCGTTCTGATTGGCTGAGCTACTACTAGGCTATATGTTATGGCCCACTAGTAGCGAAAAGCGCCAGCATTGAAAACCAAAACAGTGGCTTTAAGTCTAGCTTTAACTAGCTAAAGTTGTTTTGTCTCGATATTTTTGACCAACTAGAAGGATTTTACTAAAACAATTATTCCTCTCGCCCTCATGGCCTCTGAGTTAATGGCCTATTCGGCCTTCGGCCTATGAGCTATTGACTCAGAGCCCATTCGGGCTCGAGGAATAATTAACTATTAATGAATGAGGCTGAGTATCTTATGAAGAATTATGGAGATTGAGGAGGGTGTTCTGTCGAAATATCGCAACTTAACTCTCTTTCACGTTGTTTGATCAGTCCCTGTAAAAGTCTTCTTGACTGTAACGTTTTCATTCAAAATAATTCCTAGTTTAAATACATAGCTAAAACATGTTTACCTCCATCGATCCATCGATGTTAAGTTCATCTTCGATAGTGCACGTTTGGGGTTGTTCAGCTCCGCAAATATTCTACAAACAGCAGATGTCGCCCTTCGAATTGTCTTCTTGTTGTTCTTGCCATGATTTTAGCTATTATTTCGCCTAGTTCTTGCTCTTGAAACGTTTGAAATGTCCGCCATTTTTGTTTCCACAACCAAAACAACCCAACCTCGTCCCCAGGTCTTTTACGTTAACGGTACATTAACCTGCAAAAACGCTGCATTTTTTACGTCATTTCCTCGCTAAACACAAAATTCTTCCAAATGTGCATGGTCATCAGTAACTGGTTATGGTGAATTATGCGTGTGCTTTTAGCCAATCAGAATTGGAGAAATATTTTGAATGAATAATAATTGTTAATTTGCCCTAGGTGAGCATTCCATTGGCTCTTGTTCCCTTGTTTGACTGTGTATTAATATTGTTGGGAACAAATTGATATCGGTCACTCTTGAGACTTAGATATCACTAAATCCTAGCCCACACAGTAGACTTATCCGTAAAAACGTTGCGAGGCGCGAGGTGCCTTTCGATGCTTTTTCGAGTGACGTCAGTCCTTGAATTGATCATATCTAGGTTGCATTCCTTTTAGGCAAACTTTTTTCGGATTTGGACAATCCAAATTGCTTGGATTTTCGTCCTAGCAGGAACAACTATCTGATATAAGATTGATCCATCCAGCAGCCGCTTGCTGCTCTGATATTACTTCTTAATTTCAACGCATCGTTTTTCACTTCTTTCTGTTAAATTTAATAAGCATCTTTTCGAGGAGAAATGGAAAGAAAAGGATCTCTTTAACTAGTGATGTTTTATACTAGGACTCGTCAACTTAAAATAATCTGGAACTTGATTTAAGAAAATTCAGAAGACAATTACGTATTCTCAAGTGCTGAGAAGCGCGCCCTAAACTACCCTGCGAGCAGTGGTTTCTGCAGGCCGGACGTTACGGGAGAGAAACGGTTTCTCTCCCGTAGCGTCCGGCCTGGAGAAACCACTGCTCGCAGGGTAGCTCTAAACACACACAGACATTGGACAATACTTTTACGGTGAGAAAATCCAAGCGTTTTCACTTCCTTACGGATTTAGAGTTACAGTGGAACTTGAGTTTGATATACTACAGTCCTTTAACGGCATACAACAACACAGCAGTATAAATAACTTTTGACTGAATGAACCTTAACACGCCATGTTTATTGATGACCGAGCGCGTTTTTGCGATCGAAAGCGTTTCTATCAAAAAGAAAGAAAATTGCAACCCAGGGTCGAACCTGGGAAACAAATCCGGACCTTTTTTATCCTCATCGGTTTCTCTCTCCACTACACTACCACACCGACCCCCCAAAAGTCCGAAAAACTTACGTACATACACTAGCAAACTGTCTTTCTTAACTGTTACATCAATAACAAGTGACCATAGCCCTTTCCATAAGTTTTAACGTAAATTCAACTTGGACTTCACTTTCTTTCTTTCTCAGACTTTTCAAAAACGTATAATTTGCCTTACTGTAACTTAATCCAGGGAATAATTTACGTCCATCATGACTAAACGCTTGGCTACCAATCGCATTCATGTAGGTTCAGTAATACCAAAACATTACCCACACCGTGTTTACCTTGTTTTTCTTTCCACGGTCAGGTAACCCAAATGTATCCAGCTGTGGTTATAAAAACTGCTACCTTTTAACTTGTTCGTTAGTCGTTTTTGTAAGGGCTGTAGAAGTCTAGAACAATAAAGAACAAGATGTAAAAAGAAGACTCTCGGTACCTCATTGGTTAGCGAGCGAGTTACACAAATACCCCCCCACACTATTGTTCTTATCATTCTGCGATGAGTTGCTTTAGTTCCAGCGAACAATATACAAAAATGTACCTAATAGCTTTTTGTATCATGAAGTCCGTTTGCCCTTTGCCTTTTTCTCGACACATTTAGAAACAGGTACATGAATAAAATTCATTGCCAAATGGTGCGAATCAAGCATTTTAAAGCGTAGCAAACAATGCTCAATTTTCGAATTGTGCAAACTGGTTTGATGAAGGAAATCCCACGAAACAAAGCATAACATGCAGCATGCAGGCATCGGAACACTATGAATTGTCAGACGTTTGACTGCTTTGGACTCTTGAACGCACTTTCTACTCTCTCAAATCGCCCTCCGATTTTAAAAGAAGGGTGAGAATCACTTACAAAAGGTAAGGGAAAATATTTTGTAAGGCAGAAATTCTTTAGTTCTTTTTTTTTTTCGTTCACTTTTCATAACCATGCATTTCTTTGAATTAAATGTTGTTTACTCTTGACAAAAACAAAACAAAACAAAACTTCGCACCATAATTAAACCAGCCGTTCAATAACCGACTTTAGTAGCGTTGCACCAAAGCACATACCACACTCAATTGTATTTCTGTTAACTTTATTGCTCTAAAACTCATTCAGTTTTCAAAGGCGTTAGGGTATTTTATCGAACACTTAGAAACAGACATTATTCGGCACATAATCACGCCTGTACCTTGAAAACTTAGTTAGTAGCCCAGTAGTTCGAGAGGAGATGGGATAACAACTCTAGCTTTCCCTTGACGGCCATGAATGAAATCAGACCACTTAAAGACGTCCCACTCTTTTGCACATCGGCACGATTTTGACATGTGCATAATCTGTTCTGGGAAGAACACGTCATCCCACACATTGCCGTCTGTCAACATCAAGATGAAGCACTGCTTTTTGGTCACGCTTCCTGCGAATTGATTTAAGTTTTGTCTTTTCGTCGTTCTGAAACTCATAAAGTTTGATAGAGTGTCTATAGGCCGACAATAATGATTATACAATGACGGCTTATTTTGGAACAGTTCCGTGAAACAACTCGCGATCTCATTAAAAAAAACTGATGAAGGCAAAGTTAAAAACCTTCCCTGTAGACAGTGATAACCGAAGAATTGTTATTTTACCTTTATACACCACATACAGCATTTTGTAAAAAACTGAAACAGATGTTTTGTTTACGTTTTACATTACCTTACCTTACCTTACCTTACTTACATAAAACATAATGCCTGCTACCCTAAAGCCTGCTTGGTAATGAGTCGTTCGAAAGGAAAGGGGAAGGGAATTAGGGTGCGAGATCACGCGCGAGGGAGGAGGGAGATAAAGATATCAGATAAAGATATTAAGGTTGTGATTGACTTGTTTTGAAGACTAACCAATCAGGATTTTAACATTCGCCTGGTCGATGCTAAAAACGAGAAAACAATCGTCTCCCGGCAGGCGTTTCCTTCCCTCCCTTCTCGCGCTCCCCCTCGCGTTTCTCTCACGCCTAAAACTCCCATTCCCATCCCTTTCAAACGCCTGCCACGCAGGCTAGCTACACTAAACCTCAGTATGCAAGCTAAACGCGGAGGTCAAATAGTTGAGCCTTAGTGAATTCCAATGGCAGTGGCGTGAAAACCAAACTTGGTCCAGCGATTGCTGGAAGTGTAGCAACCACAACCCCCAAAATGGAGTTCTGTCTGAAAGAAGAACTGATTGGGCATCATACGATCAGGACTGGTGATGGGGATTGCCTTGGAGCGCCAGTCTACTGCCACACCGGTTCCTTCATAAACCAGGCTCGGATGGTAGTCGCTGGGGGTTTGTAGCTTATGGTTTGGCATAAACGCAAATAAGCTGTTAGGATTTTTATCGCAATTACGGAACTGTATTTCATGCCCGTTAGATTGAAACCCTTGCATTTTATTATTTCTCGCCTCTGCCGCTGGAATGATTCCAAGGAAGATGTAATCGTTCATGAAGTAATTCTGTGGTTTAGTGTAACCGGAGTAACTATTCACCAAAAGCCCAAAGTGTGTGCTGGCAAACGATGGGAGAGGTTGGATGAGAGTATACGATTCACTTCGGTCGTTCTTCTTCTGTAACTTTAGCAAGACTCTGCTCCTATCTCGGAATAGAAAGTTGACTATTTCCTGGGCTTTAGGTCTTTTAGTGATGCTGCGAGGAAGGAAGGTGAAGCCACCACCACCAATTGCCATCTCACAATACACTTCAATGGGGTCAATATTGGTCAGCGGTTGGATCTTGTATACTCCACTCACTGATTTTGGGGGCAAACCTTTGCAACTGCGGGGAAACTGACACATAAAACATTTCTTAGTGTAGCTTGTTTTCCTTCAATTAATCATGAAGTACATGTGTCGAAAGTTTAAAAAACATCGAAAGAAGGCAATGGCCACTTCTCTTCTTATTTTGGGCACGGGATGTTAGGGTGAGTGAACAAAGGAGCACTCAAGTGTTTTCCCAAATCGTGTGCAGATCGATGGTAATTAATTTCTCATGGCCATAAATGCTAATTGGGCGTAACAGATGTGAAACCGAAACTGTAGAGGTTCTTGTGTGAATGTGTACCAGGAGAGGGTATGTTTTGGATAATTTCGGCATTTCATAACTGTAAAAGCTCTGGTGCTTAAAAGCATTGCAGAGGATGGCTATTGTTCTCGGGACATTTTACTTACAGTCGAGCTAGGAACATAGGCCTGTAATCCGGTAATAGAGAGATTAAGATTCATGTTTACCGCAAACAGCAAACGTCAGACTCAAGTTGAGAATTTCTCAGAATAGAAAATGTGCGGATTAAAACAGTCCCGAACGATTCCTATGGTTAAAACTGCAATAAAACTACTTATTTTATTGGGTAGAAGCAATAAAGAGTAAACGAAAAATAAGGGGAAAACTTGGTCACGAGGTACATATTCACGCCTGCCTTTTGCCGTATACGTGAATCTTAATCCCTCTTATATTACAGGTGAAGCGTGAACTGAAGTCTGAGCGGTCTTTCCTTTGTTGAGAATACCCAAATAAAGGCCATGCAAGCTTTAGTTCATCCTTTTGTTTCCTAATATTTCACCTGAAATGGCTTATGATGCAACGTGTGCTTACAAGCGTTAGCACACAAACAAAGATATCTGTCAAGGCCAGTTTTCTTATTTCAACTTATGTTTGGATTTTTATGGAGGCTAATTAGATTTTTCTGTGTCGAGTTAAAGTCGCAAGACTTATTGGAACGTACGTAGATGGAACGTACATATTTAGGTATTTCTTATTAATTTGTGATTTTATTACGATTTTCATTATTTTGCTCCGGGGATCCAAACAGTAAAACTGATATAATTTGTGCTTTCGACACAAAAGATCACCTGCCAGCAAAAATGCGAGAAGCAACGGAGAGCAGATAAGTTCTAGGAGCAGAATAAAGTGGACATTCAAGAAAAAAATGCTTAACTGTCTCATTGTGGGAATCACAAAACAAGCGGGGCGTTCTCTACATCCTATTTTAAAAGGTAATTTATAGTTAAGCGCGCAAGCGTCTAAAGGCAAACAACACTTCTACTTACTTTGTCTTCGTAACAATTACAGCAATAACTGTTAGAATGAACAGTGTCAAACTGCATAACCCATAATACTACGACAAAAACGTACCACTTCATCTGCAAATGAAATAAAAATTGAACCTATTTGGAATCCAAATGATTACTCTGCGAGGTTGCTACGGGAAATAATAATAATAATAAATGTTTTTATTGAATATACAAGTAAAAATATATACCTGTATTTAAATGTTTAATATCATTAGTTAAAAAGTAAAAGTATATTTAAAATACAGTCTATTAATAAAACTAGCTTTAAAGCGTTCCGTGTTAACACAGGGTAGTAGGCTTGTTTGAGTTCTCAGACGTTTTGAAGATTCTTTAACTCTGGGGAAAGCAAACCACAAACTGAAAATGTGGTACAAAATCGACATTATCAAATGATATGATTTTAAAGATTTCAAAGCAATGTTGTATTGTATTACTAATTAATTTCACTGTTGTTCAATGGTTTTTTTTTTAGCGAACTAGTATTGTCAGATATATTGAAATTCATTAGTGCTTTAAATCAAATGCGTCAATATTGCTTTTACGAACTACAGTGGCATCACATTAGCGAAGAGGAAAAAGTAGCCTTCATAATTCATCCAAAAACGAAACAAACAAACAGCATCAATGGACATAAATGATGATCTGTAGAATCTCAGTGATATTGTTGTACTTTAATTGGCACAAACATGAGGCAACAAAATCAATGTACAGCAAAGGAAACCGCGTCGATTTTTTAAATAGGAAACTCTGCTGGGTTAAGAGGGAGATAAAGCAACAACGACGGAGACGGCTACGAAAACTTCGCTTAAAAAGTGACCTCGCGCTGCCTTTAATTCGTCAAATGTTGGCAACTTTTTAGGAGTTGAATTCTAAAGGACTGTATCAAAGTTCAGGAAAAGAACAAGAAAGTTGTGTTCCCGTCCTTGATAAAACGTAAAATTAGGCATTTGCTTAGATGCACGCGCAAAGTTGTTGTTTTGATGATCTTAACCTACTGCTTTTTGGCCGTTGTCTTTACGGCCGCCGTCGTCGTTGCCTAAGCTCTCTCAGTAGTGTCGCAACAGAGCATCGGTGTACATCGGTATGAAAGAGTTTATCTAGCCATGTCAATTCCATCACTAAGGAATGATATTGTTCTTATGTAAGGCATCTCAATATCGAAAGCGGAAAAAGTAGACTTAAATAACTATCTCCATGACGAGAGCAACTTCGCTGAACACTGTCATTTATGTAAGTACCATTCAAACAGAATTGAGCTCGGACAAGCGGATAAATGAAATGTTCAAGATTGCACAATCCAGCGGAAGTGATCATCCACATTTTCAGGCCCTAGCTTTTCAAAAGTTGGAGAGTCCTATTCACCATATAAATTGCAATATAGTGGATAAACATTAGGCAAACCAATAGCACTGTTCACTGGGTAGAATTTCATCCAGTAGACAAATGGAGCACGGTAGATAGTGAAGCCCTCGTAGTGATGTCATTGTTCACTTTTTGGCTTATTGCAGGCAAATTAACCCATGAAAAGACTTCACCGTGGCGTACACGCGAATTAATTCCAAAAAAATGGACGAGCTAGCTAAGTTCAATAATCTCTGCAATTCTTAGCAATTAGCAACCAATATTTACAACATTTACGAAAATAACAAGCATAAAAACTATGAGCCATATAATAATATATCCCCGCCGGTATTTCAGTGAGGTATTTTCATCTTAAAACAGCTGATTGCCCTACTATGTTTTCATATCCAGTTGTAAAGTCTTCATAGCTTGATCTGATAAATTGCCACTGCGTATGAGTCAAAAATTAACAACGAGGGTTCGTTTTACAATACAATGGACAGTGTTCAGTGGTGGGCACTTGTAATAAGGTTCATGCAGCTACTTCCAGCCATATCCTCTATCTAGCTTATTATATATCAATTCTCTATGAATCAGTCTTTCTTAAGAAATAGTTTAACTACTGGGGGCCTTTCCGGTCAGTTCCTCTAAGTTATAGTACAACTGAGCAAGCAAACAATGCATATTATTTAAAGAGGTAAAGAAGAATTATCAGTGTTTATGCTTTATCGTCATCCACAGGCTTTATTCCCTCGAGCTCGTGAATACCACAAGCGGTTGTAACGTTAAACTGAGCAATATTTTTACTGACTAAAGTACAACTAAGTACAACTCTGATTTTAAAAAAATATAAATACATATACATTTCTTACCTTTCTAAGGCTGTCTCTTGCCCGATCAGGTGTATGAGTCATAGTGTCAATTGCTTTGATCTAGTGGGATCTTACATAAGAAGAAACCGGAAAAACTACTCAATTGTTTTATGTGCACTCGAGGAAAGAATGAATCACTTATTGGTATGTATGACAAGGAAAGTTTTTACTTTCTTTCAACCCCTTAAAATATCAATTTTTTCCCTAAACATTGAAAGATAAACTTTAGAAACATTAAGTACAAACTGATGTTAAAAATATACATTTAGAAATTTCTAACCTTTCTAAGGCTGCCTCTTGATTGATCTGGTGTATGAGTTATACTGTCAAATGCTTTGATCTTAGTCAGTAGAATCTTAAATTAAGAACCTAAACCGGAAAAACCACTCAATCGTTTTATGCTCACTCGAGCAAAAAATAAGTCAGTTATTGGTATGTATGGCAAGGAACGTTTTTATGTTTTTTCAACCACCAACGAATGATCAAGGCAAAGTCCATGACAAGAAATCTTTCGGTTTTGGCTCTTTTAATTTATGTATCGAGACTAATTGCTCAACTGGCAAGATTACGTAACAAATAATTTTTCCTTTGTTCAAGGCATCTTTTCTACGAAATGTTATTATAAGATCTTTTCAACTTGATTGGTCCTCAGTACATAATAAGAACTGCTAGTTCGTAAAAGCAATAATGACGTATTTCCTTTTTCCAAGTGCGTCAAAATTACTTGTACTAACTAAAATAACCTCAACTGCATGATCTTATCAACAAAAGCGGAAAAAGTGAGGCTTTCATATGTTCAACAGTAACTGAAAAAGTGATGCTTCTAAGGAGGGCCTAAAATAGGGTTTCTTTATCGCGCTTCCTGCCACTACTTTTTCTTTCATCCCGCCATCCCGCTTGCTCGGGACGTGATATCCCGATCCTGCTATGAAAATTCTGTTTTTGCATGCCAGTCGCGGTTCTTTTTCCACAATAAGACGCGGTTTTCGCGGGTTAGATTTAGCGCTACAAATCCGTCTTTATAGTAAACAGCAGCCGTAAGGTTAGTTTGGTAATTTTTTCTCTTTTGGATAAGTGTTCAGGAATCAAACAAAAGTTTTATTTAACGGAGAACAGCGAGTGGAACAATGCGAAGGCCCTCCATCACACCAAATTGAAAAGCAGGGCGGTGAGTTGACAGAACAGACAAGCATAATTGAGATTGGAAACAGTATCTATGCCGAGATTTATTTAGATATGTCGTCCTTATCAATCCTTACATAAGACCTTCTGGAAGAGTGAATAAATATTTACAAACCAAGGCTGGAATAAATTATGTACAACCTAAGCCGGTTAATAGTGGAGACGAATGCGGTATATCTTGTACAGTGGCTGTTGAAAAGTTAAACAGACTATTATTTCAGCTTTTTCTTAGCCTGAGTAGCGAGCGTTTCCGCTCGAGTTAATGTGTATTAAGCCCCTTATGGCGCTGGCCAAACGGAGGTGTCACCTCCATCAAAAAGTTGATGTCTAGACTGAGCTAAGACAGGTTGTCACCTTCTTCTCCGGAAAGATTTTCTTCAGGTGCTCCCTCGTCACCTCTCGCTTGGTTCATCAAACTCTCTACTGTCAGGTTCAGCAGGTTCAGGGGTGCTCGAGTATACGGCGTTTTCATTTGAAGAATCTGAAGTGAGAATATCTTGTCACTCACCAGAATCTCCTTGTAGTTTCTGGTCTCACGCTTCTCTGTCGCACCTAAACACTATAAGCCTTAGCCTGCTTTCGCATCATCGCAATTTCTTTGTGATTAGCCGGCACCTACAGCAGTTTGTTCCTTCTGAAGGATGTCGAAAAGGCCGCATGACCGTTCAGGAAGCGTTCCTGGACGATGCCATGCGCTGATCAGCAATTTGCTGTTTAAGCTCCCTCGTTAGCCGTTTTCCTAACTAAGTACATTGTAACACAGTGGTGACCTGGTTCTTTTGATGAATAGGAACGTACAGGTCGTCCACATCAAGGGTCATGCAACTCAGTCAGGAAGTTCGTCTTGTTGTAGGAAAATTGTCCCATGTTTTGCTGGCGATGTTATAAGCCCTGTCGTAGCGGCTGTACAAAGTCCACTGTTTTCGCGGCAACACTTCTGTGAGGACCATTCAAATTCTGCGGCAGAACATACTCCATGTTCTAATGGATGATGGATTCTCTTCTAAAACATGTATGAAGACAGTCACCAACTCTTGAAATGGCTGTTGGTAGATTGCACAGGCTGAATTCTTCGTGCTTTCTGTGAATAGAAAAAGTGGAATAAAGAATTAAAAAGCATCAACAGGTAAAAGAAGTCGGGCCATGTTTCTAAGCGTTGTGAAAATCTTAATGCAACTCGTTTGCGGGGCAAGGACAGGCACAAGTGGGTTGAAAAAATTTACTTTTTGATGCAATTTCATCACAGTTACCTGCAATTCATTCATTGAACAGTTCAATCTTTCTTTCAGATCACCATCATTTCAGCTTCCTATTATTATCGAGATCAAAGACTGTTGTTCGCCCTCATGTAAAGCAAAGGTATGAAGAGCAGCGTAAAGGCATGATGCAGAATGTACATAACACGCGCTGTCTTTAAATCAGACAATGAAAATTCTTCAAGAGGTTTGATCTAAAAATGCGGAACTGATTTCAGACACCACCTATCGAAACTTACAGGCTAGTTTTTATTTACGGAATGGGGGAATCGGGGTATCGGGGAGTACTCTCAGTTATAGTATAAGAACAGCAAGTCCAACAACGCCGAAAACTTAAAACGAATTACTGAAGAATTAGCCATGTTTATCATGAGTTTTTCCCCATTTTCAAATAAACTTAGAAAAAAGTCAGTACACTCCTGTCAGAAATAAACAAAATGGGAACAAAGAAATAAATAAAAGAAAGGACACAAAAACAAACAAATCAAAAACCAACATCCCTAGTTCCCGTTCACCAATCAGGCCGTGAAGCGTTTTGGTGTCTAATCGTAATTTTAAGGACCTCGACTGCGGAAAAAATCACTCAAACATATCAGGCCCAAACAGCGTTACTTTGTACCTTTCTTTAGATATGTAATGAGATTTGTCCGTTTGCTTGTATTTTCAATCACAAGTAAGGCGTTGTGTCGCAGTTGAAAGAAAATTGTATTAAATTTTTCGACTTTGTAAAATACTTGGAACCAGACACTAAGTTAAAAATATAATATATTAAAGTGGTTTTATTTGAACTGTCATAATTAAGAATATGGCTTCATGTGTCTACTAATAAACTAAAACAACAAGAGAATAGACTGTGTAATCTTAGCTTTTTCGTTTACTACGCAGAAACTCTTAAACTTTTAAGGAGAGACAGGCAGCCTCAAGGTTTTTGAATACCGTAATTCCTCTATTAAGCCAACCCCCAACGCCCCCCCAGGCTGAGGGGGTCTTAATAGAGACGGGAAGCTTATTTGAGAGGGCGAAGATTTTTCAATTTAGCAAAGGAGAGGGGATCAGGTCTTCATGAAGAACTAGAATGCAAAGTGAAAAAGCTCAAGCACAAGAAGTTGGAGGTCATGGAGTCGAGGAACAAAAATGAAACAAATCCGAACTTCCAGCTTGTAAATAAACCATCCTCTCGATTCTAGCAGACTTCCCTTTGGCATCTACAAAAAACTACTTTTGCTTGCGCTCCCTCAATTATAGTTTTATTATGGCCTGTAAATGCAAAAAGCATAGCCTCGAAATTTTGGGGCGAGAACTGTGGACCAGGGCCCAGTTGCTCGAAGCGTGGTTAGCGATAACCAGCGTTTAATACCTTGACAACGTATTGGTTTTGATACTTCTCAACCAATGGTTAAAGCTAACCATGCTTTGAGCAACTCAGCCCTGCACGTTAACGATAGATTTTGGTGTCGTCAGCTAATGTCTCTGCGAATTCTTATGGTAACAATCATCCCTTCCCTCTTTTTGTCGAGCATTTGTCATTTTTCTTTCGAAAGCTTCAAATATACAATTGAGTTTAATTCTAAAATACCTAGTTGCGGCAGTTAACGCATGCAACAAGACTGAAAGTAAGCGTCAGTAAAGTCACAGACCGAAGCCTGGTGCTCTCCATTTTGATTTGCAAGTTCTCGTCTCCAAATCCGACGGATGACCCAGAAAAAACACTTTGAAGAACGGTTTCATTGATTTCCCGTGCACGAAAAGCCGATTGGCGTAGAAAACATCTGGGGCGTTCAACTTAAGAATATTTACATTGTTTTAATATTCAGCTTCCTTGCAACGCCGGTTGTTTATTGTTTCTTTCATTCTAGTATTCACTTTTATTAGTTGGATATTGAGATTATCACAGGACTTACATATTTATGATACTTCGAAAACACCTGATGGAAATGCTTAGCATGCGTTCTATCGATCTTAGTTGGAAATAAGAATACCTCAAAAATTATTCCGGAATAGCCTTAATATGAAAAAAAAAAAATAAAAAAAAAACTAGTACGATTTCGGTACTCACTATTATCAGCAGGAGGTTCTGGTTTAATTCAGATTTGAGGGTGGATAATTGTCCATTAGGCCATCGATATAGAGTACTTAAGTGTGACGTCATAAAAATGAAATTTCTGAAATTATGAGATTTGTCAGGATATAGAGACAATTTGCCCCGAAATGCTCATTTTAGGTAAGTAGGCCTCTTGGATATTGTTCTTTCAGAATATCCTGACAAATCCCATAATTTCAGAAATTTCATTTTTATGACGCCACACTTTAGTACTCTATATGCCTTCTGTTTGGAGAATAATATTTAAGGTCTCGGTAAAGGAAAACGAGGTGCCCACAGAAAAAAATTCTAGTCGCGCGGGTATTTTCGCTACAAAGGCAAGTTATATATCAAATTAAAGCTAAAAGACTAAATTACCTTATAAAAGATTTTATTTCATCGAATTTCAAAAGGCGCTTAAGTTTTTTGCTCTCGAACTCAGAGGTATCGAGTTTACTGCTGAAGCTCCAACCCTTTCGCGTTGTTAAATATTCACTTCCTTTTTATCGCATCTGATTGACAGATAAAAGACCTAAAAAAGGGTGAGAGGAAATTTGCATATGTCTCGTATTAGCGGAATTATTGCATTTCAAACTAAAAAGTCGAATCTCGAGCACGATTTACGCAAAGAAACTGACATAAAATGAGTTACAAAGGGAAATCGGAAAATTCCTCACACCCTTTTTTAGGTCTTTTATATGTCAATCAGATGCAATAAAATGATCGATTAGATGATCGCTTACGAGAACTTGCCCAGCTACAAATAAACATTGGGAAAGTAACCGAAAATTGTGTGTGTTTAGCCATACTGTTGTTTGACGATGTTGTAACTGATTCAGTCAAAAGCATAAAATTCAAGTGGTGATTTGACATTGTAACCGGGTGTGTTTGTGAAAATTAAAATAAAACACTGAAACTGACATAAAATCATTACAATGAACAGCGATTTGAAATTGTTTGGTTAAAATACAAGATTCTCTAGCTACAACCCAGAAGTGTCCGTGGCTGCATCCGCATAATTAAGGAAAAGTAAAAATGCAAAGTTTGTATTGGATTTAAAAATTTTCTGAAGGGGGCCGTTCGTAGAGAAGTCCAATAACGAGAGCTTCCACTGAACTTTGTTGTGGTGAAAAGTGGCCAAAGCGAGAGGGATAGATTCCGAGATCTGGCCACTCAAAGCAGAATGTTTGAAAAATATTCTACTTATTCTGGTAATGAAATAACAGGTCAACAAAACGGGCTTTTGATATTGTGGGTTGTTCTATCTAGTCCTATTCCATAATAACGTCAATGGAATGCACGCACCCTAAATGAAGTTTTAGACCTTACTTTCCCTGAACAGAACCTAGAGCGTACGCTTAAAATCACATGCAAGCAAAAAGAGGGGCTGTAATAGTTCAGGATTAGCGAACTCCAATGGCAGTGGCGTGAAAACCGTATTTCTTCCAGCGGTTGCTGGAAGTGTAACAACCGCAACCCCCAAAATGGAGTTCTGTCAGAAAGAAGAACTCATTGGGCATCATACGATCAGGATTGGTGATGGGGATTGCCGTGGATCGCCAATTGACCGCCACACCGCTTCTCTCGTAAACAAGATTTGGATGGTAGCCGCTGGGGGTTTGGAGTTTGTGGTTTGGCATAAAAGCAAAGAAGCTGTTAGGATTTGCATCGCAGTTACGGAACTGTATTGTACGTCCGTTGGATTTAAAGCCCTGGGTTCCTCTCCTTCTCGCCTTTGCCGCTGGGATGATTCCAAGGAAAAAGTAATCGCTCATGTAGTGGTTCTTTGGTTTTGTGTAACCGGAGTAACTATTCACTAAAAGCTTAAAAGAATATTTGGTGAAATTTGGGTGAGGTTGTATTAGAGTATACGATTCACTTCGGTCGTTCTTCTTCTGTAACTTTAGTAAGACTTCTTTTCTGTCTCGGAATAGAAAGTTGACTATCTTTTGGGCTCCACGAGTTTTAGAAAGGCTGCGAGGAAGGAAGGTGAAGCCACCACCACCAACTGCCATCTCACAATACACCTCAATGGGGTCGATATTGGGTAGCGGTTGAATCTTGTACACGCCACTCACTGATTTTGGAGGCAATCCTCTGCAGCTGCGAGGAAACTGACGGAGAAACATTTATTAGTATAACCCGTTTTCCTTGCACTTAATTCTCTAAGCACTACAGGTCAGTTTAAATACTGTAATTCTTGGAATAAGCAAATTCTTGGCAATGGCTACTTACTTCGAAACTCTGGCAAAGAATGCGGAGGGGAGTATCCAAATCTATGCAGATGATAACTAGTTTTGTTTATTCATTACAATATTTCTCCAATTATGATTAGCTTTAAGGTAAGAACAAGACACTTGCTCGGATGAATAGGGAGTGACGGGGCTTTGGGAAAAATTTTTCGACTTCGCGGCTAGGCCAACAACAATGGTTTAATTCAGTCAAATGATACAGGCAAAAGGTCAAACGTAACCAGAAACTCATGACCCGTTATGATCGACTTTCTAACGTAACTTAATCACGTCCCTTTATTTCATGGAGGCGACAGATTTTAAGTGTAGAGATAAAATCCCGAGACCTAGTAGATTCTCCGCTCTAATGCTCCTGGGTTTCATAGTCTTAACTAAATTAAACGCTCGTCTGCCTGTTTTCTTTTCCTGAACTTGCAGAAAAACGTACTAGTTATCCGCTCCCAGTTGTTGAGACGTTAGATAGCGCTATCCACCGGATAAATCCGCAGTAAGTGAAAAGGAAACGATATTAGATAAAGTTTTCTCCAGTGGATAGTGTTCACTACGTTTTGAACAACTGGGACCCGGTCTTTTAAAGGACAGCTTTGCTTGGTAATAGATTCATGTTTGTTTTCCCTCTGGTCTCAATGTCTCGTTCAAGAGGCCTATTGAGAAAACACAACACTTTATACTTCTCTTGAGGATCACGCCCCAGTTGTTTCTAAAGGCGGATAACTCTATTCATTGGATAAATCTCCGACCATCGGATAAAGCAATTGGTTTATCTTATGCTTATCTGCTGGATAGTGCTCTATTCGACGGATAGCGCTATCCAACGTTTGAACAACGGAGGCCTGCAGAAAATTATCCTCGTCCACTTACTCTCTCAGCGTAACAATTACAGCAACCACCCCAGCCTTGCGCATGAACATTGCATTCCCACTGCATAACCCATAGGATGACTAGAAAAACCGAAGACTTCATCTGCAAATTAAAAAAAAAGTTTGACGTTTTTTAGAGAATCGAAACGATTCCAAGCCATTGCGCTGCTTCAGTGGGAAAGCAAATTACCAAAATGAGGTTAATTTAGAGCTGCAGTAATTACTGAGATCCAAAAATTGCCCCTCGGAGTGAGGGCTCTTGTCGATGCAAACCAAGGAATTATGTTTTACGAGCAGCAAGCAACTCTGCAGTGCTCTCAAAATCATGGAAAACCACACTGAGAGTGTCATCTAGGAAAGGCACAAACCCAAGGCTCTTCTTCGCTGTCTCCTTGGTTAACTCGACAAACCTGATCACAAACTATGCGCTTCGGGAGTACTTCGACCAAACTGCAATGTATAAATTGAATTGAAATATGCCGGCTTCAACTGCATAAAATCGATCAAATCTTTAACGGAAAATATTGGGATATTGTTGTTGGTCGAGAGCTGGGTCAATCTTTGTCCCGCTAATGGAATTATAAATGGTAGTTGAGGCAATCAGAGACAACGCCCAGAATTTTTTCCACTCACACAGGACAAAACTGTCTCCGCAACTTGTTCTTGTGTGTGATTGTGGAGGACAATATTGTTGAAGGTATTCAAATTCAGCAGTAGTTTGAACCGAATCAGGCAATTTTACTATGCGAGTTACAATAATCTTCAATGGTATCTCAATAGGGAAGAGAACTGATGAGATCACAAAAACTAAATGTGTGAAGTCATGTGATTGTTTAGCATATTAAGAGAGAACAAGACTTTTAAAGCCCCGTCCCTGACAAAAATCCTGTTAGTGCAAATTGGTGAGGAAATATAGGCACGAGTTTGATCTTATGAATCCATAGAAATCCTTCTGAAATTGATTTGGATCGTAACGTTAACGATCCAGGCCTATTTTAGAAAGATTTAAATGGAGTCGTCGAAACATCTTCTCACCAATTTGCGCTAACAGGCTTATTTGTGGCAAGGGGGCCGTTATTCACCCTGTTTTTTTATCTGAATATTGCTAAACAATTCCGTCAATTCACAAATGTAGTTTTTGTGACGTCATCATTTCTCTTCTCTATAGCGAGAGCGGAAAAAGTTGACAACACGTAGGTTATATGCCACTGAAAATGTGCTTCTTCACATAGGAAAAAGTCAGAACAGCATCGATGATGGTGGCGTTTGTAAGAACTATAACTGTATTTGAGAGGGAAAGCCTTTTCAAAACAAGGGAAAGCACTGCTTTGCTACTTTTTCAAACTACAAGAAAACAAAATATGTTTCAATGTGAGCCATATCTTCCTCCGTTTTACTAAGAGTAACAGAAACCGTTCGATAGGTACAGGAAGAGCTCTGCAACAGAATATCGATGTATAACGCGCAACCCGCATTCTGATTGAATTGATTTCAACTGATGGGCATATTCGTTCTGACGTCACATTGGGCTCAGTATTTGCCAATTAACTCGTTAAAAAATACAAAAAAAAATTGTTGAATTAGCTAATAAGTAGTGAATCTATTTTTCATGTTCAAGACCTTATCTGCCATATCGGGATGCTATTTTCAGCCAAGGGACTGTGCTACAAACTTTATGTATCCAAAATTGCTTTACTATGGGTTGATCTGAGAAACGCTGAGTCAAGAATTGTCAGAAATTTTTTCAAAATGTCGACAGATAAACTTTAACAACAGTAAGTACAATTTTGATGAATACAAACCTTTTCACTAGTTTCTTTAGCCTTTCGATGTAGCACCAAATAACCTCTTTAACCTATCGGCTGTATTTATCAAACTCTTTGATCTCTGGCTTTAAATAAGAATCTAACCCGGAAAAACCGCTTAAATGTATTATGTACGAGTGGTGTATATTGAGTACAAAGACGTCCTTATATCAAAATTCAAGGAAAATCTAACTAGATAGTACCTCATTGAATACGGAATATCAAGATGTTGTGGTTTCATTTGTGTGTCACACTTTCAAGTATTTTACTTGCATTATTTATGTGGCTGCTGACAAATGAAAGCAAATGACTAAACCCTATCAAGTCAAATGAAGTTAGATTTCTTGTCTACTCAACAGAAACTATTAACGTAAAAATGGCAGCCTGAAGGTTTGAGAAAATATGACAGCGAATATGGCAACTCCGTTGAAGGTACTTTTGGAATAGTGACGTCTAAGCTCTAGTTTAAAATGTCCGCTTGAATGTGTTGTTTTGTGCAGCCTGGAAAAACTAAACAAACGTATTCTGGTTAAACCATTGCAGAATGATTGTTGAACTCAATGCACCAATTTCAGTGTTTTCTCATCCGTTTTTAGAATATCATGTAGCCTCAGCCATCGATATCAGCAAATACAGCTGTAAATGATCTGCTCACCACTGACAAATGGTAATATCTTGCCTAGCAAAGCCCAATATTTCAGTGTTTAATTTTGGTTTCTTCCTATTCATTAAAAACGTAAGCGGACTTCAAAACCAATAATAGCTTTGAGGTCCTCAAGGAAAGGTGATGTCCAGCACGTCGGCGGTAGGTTTTGCAGCCATCATCTAAATCTGAACAGTAATTTGCATTTGCCGGAATGTCCTATATATAATGTAAAACATGATCGAGGCTCACATGACATTTCAGATTGGAAATTGAAAGAAAAAAACCTGATGGGCAGGAATATGACCGGGATGAAAAGTTCATGAAGTTATAGATTGAGATGATGGTGTTATTTGAAACAAAAGGATATTCCCATAAACAGTAGCTGATAGACGGCTGAGAAAAGAAAATGAACCTTGGTGGTCATACCACGTATGAAGAATTTTGCCCATTTCAAAAGATACACACAACTATGGCGAGCCTCCTTAAAACAGTAAGTTTTATACGTTGCAGAACACAAGAAGTTATAAATTAAATGCCCGCTTTTGAACTTTAAAATTGGTAACGAGTCTGGCAATGACAAACGTTCAATCAACTAGACTGGGAAAAAAGAGAAGCAAGCGCACTTTGAATGTGACTGATTATACACTTATTTCGAGAAAGGTTCTCGGAAAAACATGCGCACGCGAATATCCTAATATGGGATATGATCAATACACGGCTGTTCCTGACACTGTAGCTGTCGGACCTACTTTTGCTGCTTTCCTTTAGCACTCGCAAACATACGCCCATGACCTGTCGTGCCATTCTTTCAAATTGCTTTGAAGAACAGTGAACTCAAAGCTGCCGACAATACCTTTCGGGATTGTCGCCTGCCCTTTTTTTCCGACAACCTTTCTCGAAATAGCTGTATACCAGTATGTCAAAACGAACATCAACAAAACCATATACTAGCGGTCCAGGACCTGAAGTCACGATTCCACTGTCTTTGATTCAAGGAAAAACATTGAAGTCAAGGGAGGGCGAGAGATGAAGCAAAAACGGCAGAAACATGGGGCTTACACAATTCTTTTGGACAATTACTGTTAGATTGTCGCAGTCCTGTAGAACAGTTGAAACTAAACAACTGTGAATTTGAAATTCTCTCAGAAGCCAAGATTGCTGTCAAAGATGCAAATACAAATGAAGAAATATCTAAGTTCCCAATCTACGTCAATGATCCTTTATAATAGCGCTATAAATATTCTTCTTACCAAAATAATATTGTAAGGAAAAGGAAATCGGAACCGCAGGTTAAGCGCTTCAACCACATCAATTGGAGAGGAAAATCAAAAATGAGCTGCTCCTCCCGCCGTGGAATTTTATCTACTTTGAGTATGTAAGCAAAATAAAAATTATAATGCAATTGATAAAAACTTGTCAATATTTATGTTTACCTTTTTTATTTTCTACAGTACGCTAATTGTGTCACATATCCCGGTACTTTCCTTGGGTTGAAAGTAGAAAAGTTAAAAACAACAATGTGCATTACGAGTTACCCCGCGACGCGAGCGTTGTCTTGGTTGGAGACCCTGAAGAAGTCGCGGTTTGAGATGTTTTAGGGTCTCTAAATTCAAGGTCAGAGAGGCTTCAGCTTGGATAGCTTGCAACAAAATGAGAAAGTGTGGACCTCAATGCTGCCGCGGGCAACAAAGATCAGACTGTTTAGAGCAACTGTGGAGTCTGTCTTACTCTATGGAAGTGAAACGTGGACCGTGATAAAGAAACTGGAGAAAAGTGTCAACGGATGCTACACCAGAATGCTGTGGACGGCCCTGAATGTGCACTGGCAACAACATATGAACAACCAGGAACTATATGGGAGCCCCCCAACAGTTAGTGAAACACTCCGTGAGAGAAGATTAATATTAGCTGGCCATTGAGCACGTCAAAATGAAGAGACTGCTTTAAGAGCTGCGGCTAACTTACAGGAAATTCTGCAAAAGATAAAACGTTGGATTCCCATTGAACCGAAATGATGTTAATGTTTGAACAAAGACATGAATGTACTCTTTCTTAAAGTAAACGGAGGAGTTGAGACAACGACCCTATTAAAACAATTAGACACCTGTCACTACTAAACCAATTCCCGACAATTCTGACAATTAAAATCTCTAGACTTGTTCGCGCTCATTAGCATTGAGTGAAGTTGACTTGAACATAAAGCAGCTCAATTACAGACATATCTAAACAGCTGGATTTTAGGGCCGTAACTGCTTATTCATCATAATTAAAGGTACAAAAGTATTTCATATAGAAAGGACCAGCAAAGGGACGATGGAGAAGAATTTGGCACTTCAAGTCATCTACAACAAACTTAATATGAAATATTAAGAGACGTGTGAAAGAGACTTAGTATATTTCAAGAGACCAAGGGATGCAATATAGACTTTTAGAAAAATAACTGAATTTCACATAAATTAAAGCGATTGAAAACAAAAAAACAACAACAACCAACAATAATAACAGGCGACCCCAAAACTGAGTTCTGGTTCGTAGTGGAAAAGATTTTTCTAAATCTCGGCTTATACCCAACGTGCGAAGATATTTAGGGTTCCCATATTTAGCTTAGGATGTCTACTTTGGGTATTTTTCCCTTCTCATCAAGCCCACTCTGCGCTCGTTCACATCATCTCCCACGCTCGTTCCTCGCTAATCTTCAGTGCCCCGCTTTTAAGTCTATGTTATCGGCTTAGCCTTGGGAAAGCCTATGGAAAAGTCAGATAAGGGACGCCAGATGTTGATCCGTCAGCAACACGTGTCGGGCGTCTGATAAAAAAGGCTGTGCGTGAAAATTCTTTCTGCTTGAACATGCGGCATTAAAAAATGTGCACATTTTTTCTTATTTCTTAATTGTTTTCAGATAGGAACAGTTTTAGTGGATGAATAGGCTTTCAATTATACTTCGAAACATTGGACTCCATGTAACAATGCAATGGCATCTTTAAATCGAGTTAAAACGATTAAAAAGAGTTCAACAGTCAGCCAACAGAGCGCCTTTTTGTCTCGCTCCGCCATTTTGATAGACATGTATGTTTCTCTATCATGACAGAGCATGTGGATAAAACAGGCAAAACTACTTCGCAACAACTTTCAGATCTTGGTAATAAAGGTAAGCGGTTTACTCAGGTGCTTTTAGCCGACCAAAACTTCATTCAAGTAATTTCTTCATTCGTCTTTCAGTAGTTTGTCCGAGTGTGCGGGAAAGCCTCATGGCTCCCCTAAACGCCCTGAACTAACTACAACAAAGCAGTCTGCTGGTGAGCTTCATGGCCCCGGAGAAATTGGTGGGAAAGTCTGTTGAACCTACCATTACTGGATCAAATCGTTTGGTTCAAATCCCACCTTATAACGAACGTGCCAAGATATTTAATCTCATATTAGCTAGCTGGTTAAACATTTTAAACTAGATTTTCCCTCTCAGCAGGAAAACGATTCTGTTGTAAACATCAATGACTTGGCTGTTCAGCAAGATTCTCCTGACATTATAAAAAGCAATGCAGCCCGATGGCAGGCTTCAGAATAATTTCCAAGTTTCCTCGGCACAACAAGGAAGCCATTGGAAACCTTAACATTGAGGTTTTTCGGCATTTCCGTGAACCGCGAACGTCAAGAAGACACGTGACCAGGGCCTTGCCGTCAGGTTTGCGGTTTGAGGTTCACGTTTGTACGGCTAGACCACGGTTCAGAAGTGAGTGATTTACCGCAAGGTTTTTTGCACCCTAAAACATCACAATCCCACGTTTGAGAAGAAATACGATTTTTTGCATACTGATTATCGAGTTCTATTTCAAGACAATTTCTCAGCTAAAATAGAAGTAGGTGGATGAATGAAAACAAACATGGCCGCCGCAAGCTACCAACAGCGAATCTTAAGTCCCAAATATGGGCAGACGGGTAACGTGAAACCGTTAACCGCAAACCGCAGTTTGTCGTTTGCAGTAAAATGACCAAGCCTCAATCCTAAGGTCTCTGTTATCTAAATTTGACCGCCGTCAGACTATAACGAGTACTTTCGATCTAACGTGCATGCAGTGTTTACACCACGTTTGGACTCTTACCCCTTACCTGTAAATTCACATATGTTGAAATTTGTTTCATTATGTAATGATTTACGTAATAATTTGTTATCAAATCATACTGATGACACTTGATTGACCTTTGTAATCATTGCATTGTATCATCATTAATAAAAATTGTAGTCCATAAATTTCAACTACATGTAGTCATGCAAATAAAGCTTATGTTCAAATGATGATGTTCAAACTTCTATAATCCAGTTCTTCTAAGTGAAAATGGCTGGCCTCCTGACTATTATCCAGAGTTCGTTTCAGTTAGCAGGACATACTTAAGCAACAATTTCACAGAAACGCAGAGTGGCAGTCCTATCGAAAATAAAAAAAGCGGATTTCGCAAAAACAGGTAAAGACCTTCTTGGTAAAGGTTTGAGTAGCGCCTGAAGGAGCGTACAGGAACAGCTAAAGCAATATCGGAAGCTAAGAAAGTAGGGCACCAGTTTCCCCCCCCAAACCGTCAACCTGACGCCCTTTCTTTAACATGTAGAGGGTCATGGAACAAGGGGCGATGGGGAATCCTCCAAGGTCGCTGGCAAACCAGAACCCGTCTGTACATAATAGAAAGCGATGCCTCAAGGGAAGCCTGTGGTGCCCTTTGCAATGGGGTGAGCACAGTCGGCCTATGGAGTCATTCCGAACATTTTCTTCACATAAACTGCTTAGAACTGCTGACAGGCTCTTTTGCAATTGAAGGAAAAATAAAAGCTGTCCTTGTTAATAGTTCAACCTCATAAACCTGTTTCGACTTGTACTGTTGGCAGGAAGGTAAGGGATTTGCTGCACGCGACAGGTATTGACAGATTTCAATGTAAGCTTCATTCAGTCCCTAGGGCATCCGCCTCTGCTGCTGCAAGGAGTGGGGTGGCTGTTCGCCACTTTGAAGTTGCACGAGAGACCGGGTCGAGATGGTTGTCAAGTGTATTGTGGGACTGTTTTGGGGACAAATTTGCCGCCTTGTTGAAAATGCGTTCCCCAAAACAGTCCCACAATGCACTTGCACCCGGTCTTCCGCGCAACTTCAAAGTGGCGAATATTCAACATTTTCGCCAGGCCTCCTGGTCATCTCACTCTACTTTCATGCGTTTCTGTTAAATACCTGTGCAGGAGCCGCCTGCGCTTCGCTGATGTAAGTAGGTCAGTTCTATCAGTTCCCGAGGAAAGGAGTTGTCTGCCTTTGAACATGCATTTTTACATTGAGTAGAATGTTCAGAAGTATAATGTCAGATTATACAAGGAACCTTAGGTCCTGATGTACAAGATAGATTAGACGAGGAACATGAGATGGAATGAAATAATGCAATGTTTTTATTGTTGTTGTTTTTTGTTGCGGTTTCTCTTTCTTTTTTTTTGCTTTGTTCTCTTTCAGGTTGAGGCTGTTGAACTCGTATTTCCTTGTTTTCCTGCAAAATCACTGTATTTGGAGCGAAATAATCCTGTCAAGCGCTCATTTTCAATAACTGGAAAAAAAGTGTGGGACCTAATTCCTTCCGACTGAAGAGATACTTCTAAATTCGTTTTGAACAGAAAAATTCCTGGATTTTTATTCTATACTTTTTTGGATAGGGACGACTATATGTTGCAGTCGATGCTTTAGTTCAAATACAACACCCAAGCTCTTCAAAATGTATATGTAACGTATTTAATAGATTTAACTGTTTTTAGCAAACCATTACGCAATGTAGGGTATCTATTTTTTGTTCTCTTCGCAACAAGTTATTAAATTTAGGTTTTCTTTTATTTTCTTTCTTGTCCTCTTCACCTCCGGCCACGATTAGCTTAGGCTCACCGCGGGTTTCATGAAAAATTTCCTTTCTCCTCTTTAGTTCACTGTAAATTATTACTTGTAAACTGTACAATGTGTAATAAAGGTGTTGTCGTTGTTATAAGGATGGCACTGCATCGTTACCGTCGGTTTTATGTTTCTCTTGCAATCGATCTTATACCCCAGGACGAATGGTGTGGAGTGCATTATTCTGCGCCTGTGTAAAGATAGGGCGATATAAGGATTCGCTGATTGGAGAAATGGATGGGTGTGAGGTTATCCTAATCTGTTTTGTGCATTCTTTTTCCGGAGAGAAACAGAAAATTGAGCAAATGAATATGATAATTGCTCGAGTACAAGGTTTATTGTGATTAAAATTCCTGTTACAATAAGAGCCCTAATTCTTAAGCACACCAGCAACTAAAACTATGAATAGAAAGTTACCACTACTGCTACAGTATTTCGTTCATTATTTCTTTATCGCTGCGAACACTTTTTGTGAGCTTAGAAGGTACAAGGACATCCTGCTGGAATCCTTAAACGTACGTTGCCTTTTATTCCATACAAGAAATCATACCACTTGTAAACATTCCCTTCCCCTATCATGCAGCATTTTGACAATTCATTGATAGTAGAACCTGGTAACACATACGACCACACATTAACATTTGCCAGTCTCCCAACAAACGACTGTTTTGAGTCGAAACCTCCGCCGACATCGTCCTGCTCTTGCCCAAGCACCAGAGAACCCTCAGCATGTATGGTGTAACCTTTCTTGAAGTCTACACCTGATTTCACAAACACTCCATCTTTGTAGCTTTTCCATTCGCCCTTACTGTTTTCCCAAGTCACACATATCTGATGCCATTTGTTATCGTCTGCAGCTATGCCCACTGACCTGGGACAAAGATCAGGTGACATTCTTACGATCAGTGACATTGCACCCCAAGATAAAGTTTACAACTAAATGGCAAACAGTAAAAAAATCAGAAATAAAATACAAATATACAAATATGCGGAAATATGGAATAAGAATTTAAAAAAAATAAAGTAAATAAATAGATAATGATAATAATAGTAATAATAATAATAATAATAATAATACGGCCGCCTGGTTAGCTCAGTTGGAAGAGCGCCGATCTATCGAGCGACAGGTCGCGGGTTCAAACCCCAGCAAGACCAACACCGAGGCTCTTTAAATAACTGAGAAGAAAGTGCTGCCTCCGTAATGACATCTGCAAATGGCTAGACTAATTTCTAGTCTTCTCGGAAAAGGACGAAAAAACGTAGGTTCCGTCTCAGAGCACTTTCGCTCATTTGTTCTTGTGGGACGTAAATGAGCCCGCATCACTATTCGAAAAGAGTAGGCGAGGAGAATCCGGTGGGGTGGCCAACCTTAACGGGTTGTGGGATTGGGTAGGGATGGCACCTCGCATGGGACCTAAGTCCCTTTCGTGCACATTCCCTTTGGGTTGGCCTGTGTCCAGGTGTCCAGAAAAGCAACTATATAAATAGAATAGATAAATAGACAATTTACAGTAACTAAGGGCGAAAAGGATTGGTCGGTAGAATTTAAAAGTTATGCAAGAATTGGCATTGCTCTCACCTTCTGACGGAATAAGGCTACATCCTTATATTGAGAAAGGGAAAGGGATTGGTCGGCAGAATTTGAACCTTACGCAAGAATTGGCACTGCTCTCCCCTTCCGACGTAGCCAAGTGTTTAAGACCCATAACCCTACCAGCGAGTTAATTTAACGGCGCCAAAAATTCCTTCTGACGTTAATTGTCCTTTTTTTTTTCAGTTTAAAACAATTAGAAGTAAAATTCGGGCGTGTCTGCAATGGAAATGCATTGTGTCCCTCTCTTAGTGCCTCAAACTACCAAGTTGTATAAATAGCTATGGACCATATATGCGATGGGCCTTTACCCCACCAGGCAATAAACGCTGCATTGCTAGAGGAAAAATGTGGTGCTCTTTCGAGTAAATACAGTATTGCCTACTTACCTTCTGTCATTACCAATATACAGGTGAACATCATCTGGAGCGAAAACAATCAACTCATTGTTTAGAGATTTCGTTGGCGCATAGCTGAATGGTGCTGAGTTTCCTGTTGCTGTCTTCATCCACAAGCAGATCGTAAATTGTGTTAAACTGCGCATGCCCCAGATATTCACATAATCGGTAACGCCTTGCTTAGGGAACTCCAGGGAGTAACCTAGAGCACAACAAACACACACAATAGGCTATTTCCGGGATGCCCCAAGCCTCTCTTTCAAAGCGAGGCTAAGTGCGTAGCAGAAACTGTTGATATGAAAATGGTGTTTTAGTCTTATGCAAATCTCATTTTTACAGGAAATGTTTGGCACTTAGCCTCGTTTTGATAGTGAGAGTTCTTGAGCTAGGAAAAGGTACAAACCTGCAAATACGATCCTTGTACATAATAACCTGTTTGACTAAATTGAACAGTTACACTCCTTATATAAGTTGTAGTTAATTTTTTCTTTTTCTTTTGTTTCAACTTCATTTGCATACATTACCATACCCAAAGACAAAAGAAAAACAAAAATTACCCGAGATAAAAAAAAAAACTAAAACTGAAAACTAAAACATACACACTGAAGAATTTGTTTGGTGTAACATTTGATACATGTTCCTATATCAAGTTCATGCACATCATATTCTCAGGGCAACGATAATTTTTTCTTATTTCGGTCAATCGGACATAAAATACTTAACTGGTATGAAAATTGTATAATTGACAGGAAGCTGTCGACATTTATAACTACAACTTATTCGCTAACGTTAAGTTTCAGAGCGAGAGGGGACGCGCAATCATAATAATAAAACGAACCAGAGAGCCGTGACAGAGCCCCTACAAAGGGACTGGTGTGGAAAAAGCCTGAGAATGTTGTCAACATACCTTCCTGGCCCTTTACGTAGCAGCTGATGAAAGCAACAAAAATGCAAGTAGTCACCCGAAGCATGGCAAAAGTTTGGTCACCTACAAATGAGAAGGCAATTTCAATCAATGAATATTTATATTACTACCACTTTCGAGCTTCCGTGAAAGCATTCCTGTTTGTCTAGACAATCCTTCGCGTTAGGGAGCCTGCGAAAATGTCGGCTTTTTTACAGGTCTGTGTTTGTTTCTAGTTCTGCGCGCCAAACACGGCGGTTCTAAAAACAATGCGTCGGCGTTTTATTTTTGCGATGACGTAAAAAAAAAAAAAATCCTCAGACAGTAACCTTCGATGGTTTATTTCATCCAAGTGCTTAGAGCATCCAGCGAACTGTTTTTTGACGACAGTGTACATATTCGTTTTGCAAGTTGTTCATTGTGCTGAGACTAAAGTCCACATAACTCTTCTGAGTTTTGTTGATTTAGTTTTGTCAATAAGACAAATATTCCATTACGATTTCGATATTACTGTGAAAAAAATTATAAACAATGAATTTTGAGTTTATTAAAACAGTAAATCTTTTGAGTGGGAAATATACTTATTCCTTTGTTTCTCGGGTGTTTATCTACCGTGTATGAAAAGCGAAAGAGAGCACAAAAATTGATTTGAAATACAATATGGGGTATAATTTAAGGCAATTCATTTTAAATAAGTTCAAAGGCGAAAAAATAAAGGAAGAATGTATATTTTCAACACTGTGGGCCTCTTTGTCATCTCAACGTGTGCTCACCAAACTTCTTTCTTGTAAGCAGAAAAAAGCCGTTCCCTGTGAATTTTCACACACGTTTTCAAATGGAATAAAATTGCATTTTCAACGTTCTTTATTTACTGTAGATGATACCCAATTACCATGCTACATAACAGCTGTTCCTGTATTTCTAACCTCCAAAACAAGAACCTGAAATATCTCGATAACATTGTTAAAGAATTTCTTCAAGCTTCGACGGTAACTATTTGGCTAGAAGAGATAAAGCTTCTGTGACTACTTTGGAAAAAATGTCAAAGCAGAAAACTAAAACCGCTATGTCATTATCACAGTAGTCAAGACAATTTTCATCTTAAACAAATACAGCTGTTGAGACCGTTTTCAATTTCTGAGGTTTCAAACCGTTCGTGGTTTTATCCCAATATCTTGTTATTGCCCAAAATAATTAACCAATCCAATATCGTTGATGGAAGTCGGATGAAGAAAGATAGCAGAAAATTCGAAAAACAATTTGAGAATAAATTTCTCTCTCACTACCAGAGTAAATAGTCCTACCCCATTATTGCGACTCTCCAAAATATCTACAATTGGTTTCATCGTATAAAAATTGAAAACATCAAACAAATATTCCTCCAAAATGCTCTCATAAAAAAACATTTTGTTACGAAAATATTGCATGAAACCTATCGATGGAAAAGTTTTGTTTTGTTTGCCTCTTCACGGTTCTTATCATGCAATCCACCTTTTATTGCATTCACCAAGTACATGCGGAATATTGAAAAAAAAAAACATCTCAAACTAAATGTCGTTAGTGTATACTCACTCAGTGATCTTAGGGTTTAAAACAATCTGATTTGCTTCTATCTCGAACTATTGAACAACATTGACTTCCTAGCAATGGATAATGCGTCGAAGGTAAGAGAAGTCTTAAAGGAATTCGAAACATAATCGTTTTTCACTTACTTAAGCTGAATTTTTTGTTCGATGTAATGTTAACAACCACTGCTTATTCGAAAAGAGAAGGCCATTTTTTTAACCTAATATTTCCGAACAAGAAAAAAAAATTGCCCAAGAAATATTTTAAGACGTAAAATTCTGCAAATATTTATCATAACTAGCGTTTGGATCTTTTTTGTTTTTAGTTTTTTGTTTTTTGTAGGTATACCGAGTTAAACTGAATTATGCGAGGCGAAAGAAAAGGAACGAAGTTTACTCACAAACCAAGCAAGAGAAATTCAAGAACGGCAAAATAGCCAGCAAAATCTGATCATATTCAAAAAAGTAACATTAACTTTTTGCATTTTCCGAATAAGTAACATTTACCTCAAACTCTTGGTTTAAATCCCTTCTTCAGCAGAACAGAGTAGCAAATGTAAATGATGTACTGAAGAGTAAGTGTGCAATATTTGTAGTTTGTGACTTCAAAGGGCGTTTCCAATAATCTATCGTATCTTAATTAGGTGGGCTAATAAGTTTACAATTTACAGAGCCGCAAATGATTCCGAGAAAAGTAGAGGAATGGAATGGATAATCAACGGTGCTGAGTACTTGAATACAGTCGACTCTCTCTCTTAGCGAAAATCTCTTTAAAACGAACACCTAGAGTTGGTCCCTGTTGACTCTTTTCCTTTTGCAATAAATTTTGATATTGGAATCGCTACGGTAGTAAAAAAAAGTAGCAGCAATCCTGTCACCTCAAGTTTAGCAAGTCCAAGTGAGAAAAAGCAAGAGAAAGGAGAAGCAAGCTTGTTGAGGCAGACCAGAAACAGGAAGACAGGAAGTTGTAGATTGCGGCACCAAACGAGCTCAGAAGGCTGACACTAGTGAGACTGCAAAGTGTAAGATATGTAACGCAGATGATAACAGCCACCTTTGCCGTTTCTGTACATTGAAAGCCGACAGAAAGCTAAGACATTTTGCCGACGATTTACAGGACTATTAGTCCGTGGGCCAGCGCGTGAAACCCTCCGCCCCCACCCCTAGGGAAATTTTGCAGACATATACCGTTTGAAAGCTTAGGGAAAGGAGATTCCAAATCAGGTTTTTTGCAATTGTTAAGTTGCTGTACGAGGGCCGAAATACCACAGGGTACCCACACCAAGGGTTTTAAAGAAAATTAAAAAATAAATAAATAAAGCAATAGATAAAGCAATATGAAATTGTGTCTTTTTACTTACTCCTGCCATCTCTACAGAAATTTGCATCCCGGCACCGTATGTAAGCACTAAACTAGGGTACTGGGCATGTCATAAATTTTAGTAGGACAAAACCAAATACTGTTTTGTGAATACACCTAATTGCAATAAGGTTGTCATAGAATAAAGCAAAAAGGAAAAAGGTAAATGGGAATTAATTAGCATGTAATTATATATCATAGTTTGCAACACTCACAACACAAACGCTTATAGCTGAATATTAATCACGTAATATGAGAGAATTCCTTTGGATCAGTTTCTTGGTGTCATTCTAATGCAATTCGAGGCTGATTCATCTAGCGAATTTCTAAGGTGCTCGAATTACAAAGGTAAATCGGATAACTACTAAAGAAATAATGCCTCCCTCCATTTTTTTTCAATAAATATAGCCTGGGGTAAATTCCCCCTGAGTGCACAACACCATCTGATCCCAATTTTCAAGCAACAAATCAGGGGCGTAGGCAGGACTTTTCATCGCAAGAGGCTAAGGGGGTCCTCCGCTAGTTCCTCACCTGAGCCACAAACCAAGCTTCGTTTGTCAGGACATAATAGATTGGCGACTGAAAGTGCGACAACTGAGACATAACATTGCTCGCGTCAATTTACCTTTTTCTTTTTCGAATTGTGCCACTTCTGTTGATGGAGAATGTTGGCTCTAAAATGACTAAGGCGCCTGTCTATCTTACGGCGCGGAATTACAAAATTATCTCTTGTTATTGTGAATGAATTCTTAAATGATTGTTAAATAATTAAGATACGCAAATGTAAATCACATAGCTAATTTATTCCTATTTGGCTTTTTGCTTTTTTCTATGACAACGTTATTGCAATTAGGTGTACATATACCGTAAAATTCCGAAAATAAGCCCTGGGGCTTATATTTTTCAAAGGCCCTTTTTGAGAGGCTTATTTTTGGAGGGACTTATATTCGGAGGGAAATTTGCGTTTCAAAACCGATTAGGTTAGCCTCATAGATTGAAGTAAATTTACCGTTTTTGCTTTGTTTTACTTTGTATTTGAGAGCAAATTTTCCCAGTACAAGACCCCGGGGGGCTTATATTTGGAGAGGCTTATACATGGAGGGGCTTATTTTCGGAATTTTACGGTATGTTATTCACCGGCTGGGGGTTCCGTATTGGGAGAAACTGTGGCCGACGTCTTGAGTACTGCCCGAGGGAACAGTTTCTTCCAATACGGACCGACCTAGGCCGGTGAATAAAATTTTTATTTTTTTCCAACTGAGATTTAAAAGTTTCAGGAAAATTTTTCTTCACTCTCCAACCTATGTGTGTTGAAGTAGGACCACAGGGCGCACAGAATCACAACAGCCTACTGGAAGCCAAATTATAAGGATTTGTATGGAAATTTAGCTTAAGATCGACAAAATGGTTAAAATGTACAAAAACAGCTCTTAAAGTATACATACCTAATGAAAAGTTGTGTCTTTGTTGTTTTCTTGCTGTTTCCTGCCCTATAAACGCCATTTTAGCAGGTTTTAATGTTTTGGGTTTTCAACGTTGAAAAACCAAAACATTAAAACTTGCTAAATATTAAAACTAGTGCAAAACTAGTGCAAAACATTAAAGCTAGTGAGGCGACATCAGGAGCCACCTGTTTTGCTTTACTTTAGCGGTTTTCCTGGCTGACTTGCTTGATTCTCCCTTCAGATTTTTTTGTCTGAATAATGAAATTCACTTGTCCCTAGCTAATGCTAATAATAGCGCAAGTTTTAAGAGAAAAATGGTTTGAACATGACGGTTTTTGCCCATTCACAAACAACCAACAAACTTGTGAATGAAGCGGCCAACGATTCCGCCCGGGTTAGCGAGCAAGATCGTAAAATACCGCCCGCTCTCGGAACCAATCAGATTGCAGGATTTGGAGGATTCCGCCCGCTCGCAAGCTTGGAAAAAAATAATTAAAAATAAGTTATTTTATACTATCTTCTTTTTGTTCGCGCTATGTTTTTCGAAATTACATTTCCGATTTGTATGAGAAAAATACAGTTTTACCCATAATTTGATTTGTTTCCCGCGTGCATCTCATGATTCTTTGCTGTGCCATATTTTCATATCCGTCCGATTCTGATATTGAAGGTGAGTTCCTAATTGAAATTTTCACACCAGTACGCCCCCGTTACGATAAAAACCTGTTAGATAGACTATCTCAGCTTACAGAAGGTATTTTAATGGTAAATTCAAGCTTAGTTAATATTTCGTTAATGGTAACAGCACGTCTAATTCAGGTAGTGGCCATGAGGGCTCGAGGAATAATTGTTTTAGTAAAATCCAACTAGTTGGTCAAAAATTTCGAGAATAAAAAACTTTTAGCTAGTTAAAGCTAGACTTTAATCCTTCTTTGCCGCCAAAAAACCCGCGCTTTTCGCTACTAGTGGGCTGTAACATATAGCCTAGTAGTAGCTCAACCAATCAGAACACAGCATTGATGATAGACCACTAGTTGGATTTTACTAACCACAGGTGGCCCAAGCTCTATGAGTCTATTGTTTCAACGGATATCGCTTACCTTTAGTCCTTTGTTTGTTTTCTTGCGTTTTCTATCAGTGTCGGGTCAATATGGGAGCATTCATGAGGTTTCAGTTTCAACGGCTGTAACCTATATATATTTATAAAATAGCCAAGGTTAAAATTAGATTCTGATTGGTCGAGACCGGCAGGATTAGCTCAGTCGGTAGAGCGCTTGACTGCAGAGCGGGAGGTCGCGGGTTCGATTCCCGGGGCCGGACCAATACTTAGGGTCTTAAAATAAGTGAGAAATGAAGGTACTTCCTTTGCCCTGCGGGCGGCTGGACCTTCGCGTGGCTCGGATGACCACGTAAAATGGCGGTCCCGTCTCCATTAGGAGACGTTAAAATGAGGGCCACAAGTTTATTAGCCTTTGGCTATTAAGTGCTACCCTCTTTAAATAAAGGCTATTTTTTTTATTTTTTTTTATTTTTATTGTATCTCCATAAAGCTCGAAGCACGCGTCACGCATGCATTATAGTGCAACATATGCACGCAAGCTACGTCACACTCTCTGACAAACATAGATATTTTTATTTTCGCCTGTCCGCCATTATGGCTAAAGATCTTCTGTGCTTTGACATGGCTTTCAGTCTCTAAATGTTGAAAAAGACGAAAAGATTGATTGCCAGTTAGATAAAATTTCAACCGAAAAAAAGAATGAGAGGTTTGTACACCTGACTGAACAAGACAGAAATCAACTTTTGGCAGACGCAGAGGCGAAAGCCACAAAAGTTCAACAACTTGGGCTGTAAAATTTTTTAAAGGTATGAAAGAACGTAGACTATTTTAACCTTGTACAGAAAC